CTTCTAGCATTATCTACTCTCCTCTCTATTTTCTCATAATCAATTAATAGGTCACCAACACCCAGCTAATGTTTCTCTCAAAGCCACCAACTTCATAACTATGTGAACCTCAGAAGATACTTGTCCAGCCCCTGTCTCCCCCAACACACAGAGGCTGACTCCCCCCCTCCCCAGTTTGCTGGATTGTAATGATAGACTCTGGAAATATTTTCCTATACTTCTTTTGAATTTCCTTCATTTCCACATACCAATCAGCCAATCATATATTCATGTCCTATCCTTTGCAATCTGAGTTCATTATTTATGTTATTTCTTAATTTGTGAGTGTGGCATTGTGCAACAGCACCCCTGTTCTCCAGTTTTCAACTTGAAACATTCAATACAGCTTTGTCAATGCTCTGTCCCATGAGGCCGTGAGCACTAAGTCTGATAAAGGCATACAGCACAAAGAAGATGAGTGAGGTTACCTTAACCAAGAACCTGCAACACAAGTTCTCAAGACACAAGAACTCAAGACAGACTAGACCCTATTAAAGTACATCATACAGAAAGCGGAACTCTTCCCGAGGCAATTTTACCATTCTTTCCTTTCAGGAAAACTGACCACAAATGCTCTAAAGTCCATTAGTGGAGTTGGATTTCTTTTCTCCTACTATCTTCCAAAAGACTCATTAGAAAGAAAGAACACACACAGACACACACATGTGTGTGTATACATGTGTGTACATATATATCTTTTTCTTTCTATCTAAAAGTTGTTTCCAATTCCAAGGAGTATGGGAAAAAAAAACAAGTCCTCAGGGAATGTGGTCAATAAATTAGATGGACATAAATCTCATATGAGAAATATGGGATACAAAGATCCAACAAGAATCTTTTCTACGGCAACGTGCCTCATAGCTCACATATATTTCTCTAGAATGATTTCTCTTTGTGATATATTAGAGCTAAGGAAAAAATTTGCATAACGAGCTTCATCAACCTGATGTCTTGAAAACAAAACAAAACAAAATCTCTGAGCCTTGACATCAAATGAAAATGTTCAATTTGACACTCTTTGTATTTCGCTCATAGCACACTATCTAAAATACGTGTCCCATTTCTAATGTGTACGTTTGGAAAAATGCAAGAATCCCCATCTTTAACATTAAGTGCTTCCCATGTGGATGAAGGGCGTCAGAGATGAACATCTCTTAGGTAACCAGTTAGAACATATTCTCAAACTCCAAAATGCCTCTTAGGTAACTAATTTTTTCCCTCTAGGAAAGCTCAACTCTAAGACTGTCTATAAAGACACCAAAACATTTGGTCACAAAGTAAAAAATGTGGTGAGTCAAACACTGGACCAGCAACCAGTTTGTCAGATTTTTTTTTCCCCACTGAAGTAAGTAATTAACCGGTTGTCCTGGTATCAACAACAACAACAACAAAGATATCATGAAAGTTTGTTTCAAGATCAACCTATAATGTATTTGTGTTTACATACATAAATATGGCTAATTAGATGCAAAATTATCTGGTAATTACTTTCCCAAATAACTCTTTTTATTCCATTGCATCTGAACTTCCGAGTTTGAACAAGTAACATCCATACATGCATTAGCAAATCTTATTTAAGTATTAACACTGACAACATTCCACTTTCTGAGCAAAAGTAATGGTATCAAAAGATAACATTCAAAACTGAATAATAAAAGGTATGATTTCAAGAAGTAAGATTTTTCAAGTGCTCTTGGAGAAGCCCAGATTTTTAATAAAGAAGCAGAGATCTAAAGAGAAGTATTTTTAAATGAGCACACACATCAGCTGAAAATCTTGAAAACCATACATCTTCGTCTGCAAAAACAGGGTTTTACTTCATTGACCATGGACAATTATCAGCTAAAGAACCATGTATTTCTCCTTGCCTTTCACACTCCTCAGAAGAACAATAACCCTCAATTAATGACACAACAGTTTGGTTTGAAAAATGTGATGTTGTCATATACAGCCTTGTGCATTTACTGAATGACACTGCGACCAGCTACTCAACAGAATATAATTACATCTGGAATCTAAAACCACTTCAATATGCACAATAATATTGTAGACATAGGAACCTTACATACACACACACACACACGCGCGCGCGCGCGCATCTAACACATAATGAGAAAGCAGAGCAAGAAAAAAGCTGGTATAAGTCGCTCACCAATGTGTCCCTTATTTCTGTTGAAGCTGGTACCTTTCTATGTCTCTCCTTAGTTGAAAAGAAGGTCCAGTCAGCCTCCTTACAATATATTAATTGGTTCTGAATCTCCTCCAAGTTTTCATTCCACTGTGGAGGCTTCCTCACCTATCTTACCAGTAGTCCTCTTAAAATACTTCCAACATCTTCCCTCACCCTCAAGATGGCTACCTTACCTAATGGTAAAGCAACATCTTCATGGTTGGCTTTTATAAATTCCTCAAGCATTTCAGGATTTTGTTCTTTACTTGGATCAATTACATACATTCTCTAGAACTAATCTGAAGAACTCCAATCAATGTGTGTGGACTGGGGTAGTCCTGGGTCCTTCCTTCAAATCATCCTCACAAAATGTCTTCCTCAGGACTACTAAATTCTTCCCAATTAAAAAGGTGAAGATACCTGGACATAAGGTTTTCTCCACAGACATAATCTTTTAAAAATTTGTTTCCATAGTGACATTGTTAAGAAGACATCTGATATTTCTGAAGACTTACAGTACTTGAGAACACAGAGAAAAAGAGCAGAATGAAAGGGAAGGGGGAAAACAAAGGAACTAAAAGAAGGCCTTAAACACAAATGGAACAACCTGAAGAGAAATGTGGACTCTGGAGAAACTGGGGTCAGTCAGTCTTAGGGTTCCTCTGAGATCTTGCAGGATTTGTTGTTGTTGTTGTTGTTCTTATCCTTTTTTGCAGAAATCAGCCCAAACCAGACAATAAAGTCTTGCCATGCATCAAATCATGATGAAAAACAAGCCCCAGAACTCCAAAATCTCAGCTTTAGGGCCACCACCATCTTCACAATGAGGAAGTAACAATTCCTGGGGACTTTTTAGGAGACCTGGAGGAGCTTAAAAGTTGGGTGAAGACCTCTGTGGAAAACGTTTAAGGTTTTGCCTTGCCTTTCCTGAAGGAGGTCAAAACCCTTCAGGTCCACTCAAAAGAAGAAAAAAAATTTCAAAAGTTTACTTTAAAATGGAAACAAATGCCTCTAACTTGTGAAAGCACTCCTTTGGTGGGAGAAAAATCTGAGCAGCCCTTACAACTCCCTCATTTCCTTGTATAATGAATAGATGGTGAGGAACCACCACAAGATTTCACCCTGGAAAAGAAGAAGGAGTAGGCAGGCAAACCTCCTCCAGCCATCACCAACAGAGCTTCAAAATGGAGACATCCATAATTTTATAAACACTTCTCATCTCAGCTTTGTCTCCTGGAAACCCGCTCTCCTCCATTTTCTGGTGGAGTTACAACATGACACGGCTTACCTGACTCAGTTCCCAGCTCCCAACCAAACTAGTCACTTCCTCCAAAAACCTGCAAGCCACCTCCAGAAACAAAACCAAAGCAAACCAAACAACCAACACAGACACTCAGACACAACCCCCGGGAGCTCTGGGAGAAAAGCCCCAACTGGTTGGTCTTTTCCCATCCCAGACGCGTGCTGAAAAATAAAACTTTTTTTTTTTCCCCTTTGGGTAGAGGAGAAATATAAAAGGAACTCCAGGCAGCCTCCCTCCCTCTCTGTAGGTTAGAAGCTACAATGAAAAGAAAATGAGGGTTCCTTCAGGAATGGTGAAAAGCCTGGAGAATGAACGTGAGAAGGAGCTTTGTGTTTTGGAGTCTGGACTGGAACCAAAGCAGACAGCTTGCAAATGGAGGACAGGGAGATAAAGAAAGGGAAAGAGAGGGGCTGCTCCAATGGGGGGCGGCTGCGGCTTCCCCTCGTGCCTGGAAGGAGGGCAGACCCCTGGGAACTGCACCAGGAGTGAGGCGACCCCCAAGCCCCTGCCTTCTTTTCTCCCTTCCTCAGAGAGCCAAGCGTGTGTAATGGCTTCTCCTCTCCAGAAACCGTTGTCCTCCTCCACCAGACGCTTCTGAACCCCCAGCCTGGAGACAGCTCCTCAGCAGCTCCTGAACCTGCGCCCCCCACGCGGCCCGGGCCCCCCGCTCCTCGCCTCTCTCCTCACCAGCAGCACCAGCAGCACCAGCAGCGGCAGCAGCCACCCCCCCACCCCCGACACATCCCGACCCCGCATCCCAACTTCGGGGAGAGAGAGAGAGAGAGAGAGAGCGAGCCAAATACCTGAGGAAGAGGGGGGTGCCAATCCGCACGGCTTTGCCATCGGGCTGGGGACAGGCAGACAGAGAGGGGGAAAGGAAGGAGAGGGACAGAGAAAGAAAGAGGTCAACCCGCTCAGGTCGGGGCGGCTCGGAGCGCTCCCTCCTCTGCCCCTCGCTCGCTCCCTCTGGCTCTCGGCTCAGGTCCCCTCGCCTCCCGCCCTCCGCCCCCCTCTCTGTCCCTACTCCTATCCCCACACTCGGAGCATCCGTCCTAGGGCTCCAGCTCTCTCCTCACTCATCTTTCATTTTCTCTTCTCTCCATAGAACTACACGAAATTAATTAAGCAACAGCGCTCCGCTCCCCCCAGAAGGAGCAGCCAGCAGGAAAAGCACAGCCACCTCCACTGCCACCACCACCACCTTCTCCTCCTCCTCTTCCTCCCTCGCTTCTCCTCCTCCTCTTCCTCCTCCCCCTCCTGCTCTCCCTCCTCCCCCTCCTCCTCCTCCTCCTCCTCCTCCTCCTCCTCCTCTCTCTCGCTTCTTCTCCTCTCCCAACAGCCAGTCCATGCAGGGGACTTCCTCTCCTCCCCGCTCCACCAACCCTCCTTGGCCGAATGAATGAGCGCGTTTGTGCCTCCACCGCCCCGCGCTCTCCTCCCCGAAGCACTCGGACCACCCCGAGGTGGTGGTTAATTGCAGTAACTTACAGAAGAAGCGTCCCGGCGCCGGGAGGTGTTTCGGGTTCTCCAGCCCCACCGCCTCCTTATCCTCTTTCTCTTTCTCCTCTTCCTGCTCGGGTTATTGTTGTGGAAGTTGTTTGGGAGTCTCATGTGCTTCTGCCGGGTCTCAGCAATGGAGGATCGCCATCTTCCCTGCCTTCCTCGGCTCCTCAGACTCGCTGCAGCTGCAGATGACCTGAGATATCCGTCTCTCTCTCTCCCTCTCCCTCTCTCTCCCTCCCTCCCTCTCCCTCTCACTCTCTCTCTCTCCCCTCTCTCTCCTCTTCTCTCTCCTCTCCTCCCTCTCCCTCGCGCGCTCTCTCTCTCCCTCCCTCTGTGTCTCTCTCTGAATAATGAGCAACCAGAGGGAGAGAGAAAGCAAGACAGAAAGAGAGAAGGAAGACAATCTTCTCCTGCCACACAAAACGCCGGAGCACCAGGGGGTGCGCGAAGCCTTTCTAATAACAACAACAACGTGCAGGAGACAGGAAGAAAAAAGAAAGAAAGAAAGAAATGAGAAAAGGGCTGGGGGGAAAAAAGGAAGAATTATCCAAGAGCTGGAGAAGAACAGAAGGAGAAGCTGGAGGAGATGCTGAGGCTGCGGCTGCTGTCCCCCCTCCCCCCCGCTGAACCCCAGAAGGAGGCAAGGTGGTTGCAAAGTTAAGACTGGGACATTGTCTTTGTCACTCAGAGCAACACAGAGCCAGGCCAGTGAGATGCAAGAGGAGGAGGTGGCGGCGGCGGCGGAGGAGGTGGTGGTGGTGGAGGAGGAGGAGGAGGAGGAAGAGGAGGAGAAGGAGGCAAAGGAGGAGGAGAAGGGGAAGAGGGAGATGAGATGAATAAAGACCTGCGGAGAAGGCGGTGCGAGGAGCGCGGCGGCCGGGCTGAGGCGTGCGCGCTCGCGTCCCGGAGGCGCCCGGCCGCCCTGGCCGGCAGAGGAAGCCCCCAGTGAGGACCCTGCCCGGCAGCTCATAGCTCTCCCAACATCAGCCCAGCCCGAGGCGCCGAGCCCCGGCCCCAGAGAGTCCCTCACACGCATCCATCTAGAGGCCAATCTTTGCAAAGAACATACATGGGGAACTAGAGGTTGCAAGTCTAAACCCAGATCAACCACGTGGGGCTTTTTAATCCCTTTCCAGCTTGCGGTGTGAGTATCTCCAGTGAAAAGCTCAAATTGTCCATTACTGGCACGTATTTTGAAGTCTTCTCCCCCGAAATAAAGGCTCATTGTGCATTTTATTTCTTTTCTGATATGGAGAGGGGGGATGGGGGAGGGAAGGAACCCATCATTCTGAGCTTCGGAACCACCACTTTATTTTCCTAACTTGTGAAATGTTTTGACGGCGCACCAAAATGAAAAAAAAAAAAAATCTACTTAAATAACTTTACACCCTCCAGCCCCGCGTTGTTTGCACTTTCTGGCTGATCATCTAAAGGCTCGGAAAGTAACAATCAGCGCTTCTAATGATAAGGTGTCATGGTGTTGAAGACATAGAACCAAGATGAGGCTTTCACACCTTGAATTTTATTTAGTGTAATTTCCCCCCAAATCGTTCTGAACTATCTCTTTTGCAAAGGAATGGGTTTCCCCTCACCCCTCACCGGGTCGAACGTCTCCTAAGGCTTTAATTTGATTTGGGAGGGGTGCCTACACTATTTAAAAAAAAAAAAAATCAATACAGCAAGTCGGGAGCAATTGAAGTTCAAGGGCACGGGCTGGTTGTACCATTTCTATTTCTCGCATCCCCGAGTTGGACATCACCAGCATCGGGAGAGAGAAACACACAGCGCGCGGGGCAGAGACCTTAATTAAAGTTTCTTTTGTCCGCGTCTGAATTGGGGGATGTTGGATTCCTTTGCATTGGGGAGCGCGCATCCGGTGGAGAAGGCGCGGTGTTGAAGATCCTGGGCCAGATTGTCCTCTTTAATACTCACTCCTCCTCCGCCGCCCGCCCCCCCCCCCCCGCCGCGCCGCCACACACACCCCATTTTCTCTTTACTCTCTCCAGATAGTTGGTGGAGACAGTATCATCATGTGCCTTTTCTCTTTACTCTCTCCAGATAGTTGGTGGAGACAGTATCATCATCCAAGCCTACATGAGTGTGGAAGCCACAACTGCCCGGGAAAATACAACTGGCATTGAGAGAAGTCAGACTCAAAGCCAATCCTCTGTTGCCAAGAGCCCATGAAGTTTCCTTCCAGTCCACTAAGCTCCCCCCGAGAACAGAAGAGTAGACCTCAGGAACAGTGTGTTCCCAGGCTGGGAAGAACTTGAGCTGGTAGGAGATGTCTGGTGACTGTAGGGGCAGGGAAGGGAGCAGCTCTGGGGTTTTCCAGACCCCCGAGAATCCGTACACTTCCTTCTGTCCTAAGCACCTGATTTGTGCAATCCCCAGAGGCAAGCTGAGCAGTTAAAACACTTCTGCTTCTTGGTCTGGTCAAAACAATAAGCTGTCCTTTGGCTCACTATGTCACACCTGCCACTTCCCCACAACTGGGGGACACCGCCAGCGAGGAGACCCCTCCATGGCTCTCTGCATTTCTGAAGCTCCAAACCTTGGCAGTTAAACCCTCTTCTCAGCTGCTGCTTCCTCATCAACCTTTGGCTACCAAAAATCATAACATGACCCCTAAATTGCAACAGGATCAGAGAGACTTGCCCCCCATCCCCTTCCGTCTCCTCCTCTGAATTCTGTGTAGCGTAGTATGCCCCCGCCAGACACTTCATGCCACCTGTTTTTTTGTTTTTCAGGTTTTTTTTTTTTTTAAGAACAACACAGACTATAAATAACTAAGTAAACAAAGAAGTAAACCTGCCTGGTATCCTATCTACTTTCCTGCTCACAACCACACGGGAGACTCCAACACTAGTCCATGCACACGGAGTACTCTTTCCATGAGCGACGCTCACACGAGTCCAGAGAGACATTTCGGCCACGGCACCAGACAGTCACCAAGGGCCCTTCACCCTCCCACTCCAACGTCTATAGTGTTTCACCTTTCCACATTTCTTCCTTCACTTGAACCGTCGTGGTTTTGTATTAGGTTTTCCTCTGGGAAGAATGACTGGCAGTTAATCCCAGCCCCGCTCCACCCTGGGTGGTGAGCTAGCATTCGCAAGCCCCTCATTACCATTAGAGTCTTCTACTTCTTCGGCTGGGGTAGCTTTCTGGGAGGAGTGGTGAGCGTGGGAGGAGAGCAGACTGACAATTCGTGGCCTGGGGAGGGTTAGGGCTTTTCCGTGGACCTTGAGGGAGTGTTCCTTCAACTGGCTGATTGTCATGGTGGAAAATGAGCACCAAGAACACTTGTAGGCATGTTCACCTGGAAGAAGATGGCGGTAAGGGGCAGAACGGGAAAGGAGGGAAGGGTATAAGGTGGGGTGGAAAACAAAATGGCACAGTTAATTCACACAAGAGATGAAGTACAGTTAATTCACGCAAGAGATGCGACTTCTGAAGTTTCATGGTCTAAGAAGCCTCACAGACCAGCTACCCACCCCTTCCCACAACCACAATGCTCCTCTGGGACTGAAACTCTTCCATGAGCTCCATAATCAGGTGACCTGGTCCCTTTTCATTTCATGCTCTACTTACAGGGACAAACCCATGCATGGATTCCCCAACAGGGAGTGAAACTGAATGTCTACGATCCCTCCTTCAGAAAGGGTTCCAGTCTCTCATTCTCTCTCTCTCTCTCCACTAGAAATGACCACGTCGGCTTTCATTCAAGGATGCTTTTTATCATCTGCAGAATATAATATGCTTAATTCTTATTTCAAGGGCCTATCAGTGGCTTTCCAAGCACAGGGTAACTAAGTGCAAACTCCATTGTGCTATTTTCATTCTCTGCGTCTTTGCTGACTATACACCTCCTTGATTCCACACATCCTAGTTTGTTTTTTCTGGACCAGTTCACAAACCTCAGCATAAAACTCCATGCCCCTATCTAATCAATAGTGCAGAGAAATGGGTAAAAGTAAGTCATTTTTTTTTTTTAAATCAAGAGAGAGTTGTATATGTATAAGCACGTGTGAATCTCCAATATTCTTTGATAAACAGGACATTTCAGTAAAAGTAGGCATTTTTATTTTAATTATTTTATACCATGGAAACACAGTGACCAAATGAGACTATGGTTCACCTTTGCCCAAAGTCAGCTTTTAAATTAAGTGCATTTTAAAAAGCCAAGCTGTGAAATGGACATGCTTATGTTGTGGGACAAACACTGGTTTGATCGACTCAGAAAGCAATTTTGCTTTTTCTAACAAAAGGATGTGAATCCTCATGCTTGCAGCTCAGTATCTGCACCACTCCAACCTGATACTAAGAAAATATCCTTTAACATACAGGGTTTCCAGCCATAAGGAAATGATTAAGTAAATATGGACCAGCTTCCTGATAAATGGTAATTCATTAAAATAAATTCTTAAATAATATAAAAAATAACAAAAAATAAAATAGTGATCTTCAGAAAAACAAACAGAAAGGCACGATATATTTTTGACTCACTTATAATCACAACTGTTAAAAATAATTATAGAGGCCATGGTTGAAAGGAAGTGTTATCAAACGTGAACAACAGTGGTCTTTAGAGAATAAGATTATGGGGTGACTGACTCTTATTTCTTCTTTCATTTCCAAATTTCCTCTAACGAGCAGGTTGGTTTTTTTTTTTTGGTTTTTTTTTTTTTTACATTTCTTTTTAAGGCGAAATTTTAAAACCAGAGGTAAGGAAAGAGAAGGAAATAGAGGGGAAAAAAGGAGCAGAAAGGCCCTTTAGCAAGGAAAGTTTCGCGTGCTAGTGAGGGGGACCTGTGGACAGAGCCGCGGAGCAGGAATGAGAAGGTAAACCTCTGTGCTTGCTCTGACCCAGCTGAGATGGGTTGTTCCCCGCCCAACCTTGAAAATGACTCAACGTCTTCACATGCGAGGTGAGCGCAGCAACCCAGATTCTGCACTCAGCCTCCGCGCTGCCACTGATGACTCCCAGAGCACGTACTTCCAAGAAAGCCTTGAAGAGAACCTTGAGTGACGCAACACACTACAGCCCAAGATGGAAGAGAAGT